CTACAAACAACATTTTCCAATGTGCGCTTCCTTTCTTCTTATAATCTTGTTTAAGTCAATATTATCTGGATTCCGTTGTTTTACTCCGAGTATACACACTGCAGTTTCATAATCGCAAAGAATATGCTTCAAGTCACTTTTAAAAAGGCCATGTTCTTAGAAGTGTTTACAAGCCTATTTTTGTGATTGTTATATGCGAGGTGGGGGATAGGGGAGTTGGGTTGTCATTGTAAACCCTGTTATGCTTAGTTTATACTTTGTTTACAGTTTTGATAAATACATGAGCGAAAATAATTATACTGAAATGTACCTAAAGGTAATGAAAAATAAACTTGTTACAACTGAACCCAGAATTAGCTTGAAGTTTATTACCTCTGAAATTAACAACGAATTAAAAGTATGCTGCACAATTTACATGGACGACACACGATGAACGATTGGCGAAGAAAATTAATGGTCGATCCTGCTAAATAACAATGATAAAATCGTGCAATCCGGAGAAAATAAAGGATTTTTGACTCCTTTAACCCGAATCGACGAAGAGAATGTCGTGCTTAAAGACGTCTAAATGTATGTGACGATGAAGCGTTAAGATGTATGCTCGAACATTAACCTTTCCTTGTCCGTGTCTTCTATAAACGTACAATTTGTCGTTACGAAACGCGTTTTATCGGCTACTGCTTCTTGTTTGAAGCAAAGTTAAAAGCGGCAGATATTCACACACGAAATGGCAAAGTTCGAGACAAAAAGCCTTTTCTTAAATGATTCTGTTCACACTCAATGTCATATTAACACAGTCAGGCCCTTTATGAGCTGTCAACACCTAATTACGGAAAGTTTTACCCTGCAGTAAAACCAGGCTTTACTGAAAAAGAAACTGATTTATCTCTATCTAACAGCTTTGTGTGCTGGCGTTAGACGACCTTTGCCATGACGTAATATAAAACTAATGTATGCCTGAAGCAGTTGCAGCTGTACAGAAACAGATAAGTGTCGCGAAAAAATCTTTTGGTTATCAGAACAAAAAAAAAAAACGTTTGAATGAATATAATTATTCAAATACATATCCAGGAGTGAGTTGCCTTTTTGGAGCAAAGTTCTCTATATTACATGTACTTCCTTATACGAAAGGACGCATGGCACGGAGAATTTAGAGAAAATCTTAAAATTAACATGTCCTTGTTTAAAATCTGACTCGATATCTGTACTTCCACAGGTGAGAAATTGAGATGTAGAGCAAATATCTGTCTCAAGTATTTCCTGGTGAAGAAGGACTCTATGCTACCGGAATACAGACCGCAGGTATTTGATGTGGTCTCATACATTACTAGGCTGAACAGCTAGAGGAAGGGGCCAGCAGGACAATAGGTTCATCGTCAGTAATAGTTGATCAATGACGATGAAGATGTATTGAGTATACTGCTGCCGCCCATCCGTCAAATCAATCAGCAGGTACAAAATGTATATACTATTTAATATCACCAGAAAGTACTGACTGATACCACGAAATAAGATAAGATATATAGTATACTGCCTATAGGCACTTGTCGTTATAATGTTTAACAGTGAGAATTAGTTGAGAACTGACATATCATACTGGAGTACATCCTTATGCTGAGCCATTACACAAGGTTTTATATTAGATGACAAGTCACTGCAGGTAGGATGTAGGAATTGTACCTGGTGGCCCCATTGCATGATCGTAAGAGGCGACTATAAATTTGGGATCTTATCTTTTCTCTTCTTTCTAAACAACTTTCTTCTTCCTAATGTCTCCCTCGACAGTGCCTCACTTTTGGCCTTTAGTTGAGCGTTCGCCCCTGTGATAAAGGCTTTGGGTTCTGTCCCCTGGCCGAGACATACCAGAGTCTGTGAAAATGGTAGTTTCTACTCCTGCTTAACGCTCAGCAATTTAGGAGTGGGACGACTGGTTTGGCCCGTTGTCAGTAATGTAACAGGGTGGGGTATCCTGCTAGGTGTCTTCGGCAGTATGTTTCAGTGAGGTAGCACTATAAAGTCGGCATCAGTTCCGCGCTATCACAAGGAGACAAACACGAACATATCGCAGCATGCATCTTGCACACTGGGGAGGCCGTCCTTAAATGATCATAGCTGTTGATAGGACGTTAAACAATACTAAACCAAACTAAACCAATATTAGATGACACACATTTTGTTCAACAGCCTCATTGGTTGGATCATATATCACGTGGCGATCGTTATATGTGATATTAACTCTGTGATACTATTTTTAGAAAGAGCAGGTTGATATTCTTTTTATGGCGTCAGTAACGTCATAATGCCCCCTTCCAAATGCAATACTTTCCTTCGTACATTTATTAACCAATTATTTAGCATCTAATCTTACAATTAAGGACATTTGTTTCGGTGAATAGGTGGTTAGATAAAATAACCCTGAGAAAGTGATATTGACCGAAACGATACTTTCTGGACTTCGTCTCGGTCAATATCACTTTCTCGAGTTCATATAACCACATACTCGCCGAAACAAAAGTCCTTAATAAATGCTAGGTATTTTAACTATACGATGAATACTTGACCTATACAGAGCATTCAATTTTCAGTTCTTTTTATCCTTTTTTTTCCTCGTAGTCTTAACATCAAATCATGTGGTCTTCTCTCAGACGAAGTCCTACAAGGGTGTTTCAACGGCCTGCTGTATACCACTGCATGCTTGAATGGGACGATCGATGTTCACCTTTTATCAGGTCACCTAAACCGTGTTACATGTTTGGCATACTGAGGTCAAGGTGATCTTCAATCTGATAAACAGGCGTAGTAAGAAGTTAACGAAGCCATGTAACAGATGGTTCAGACTCATTCAGAATGGCTGTTTTTGTGTTCCCGTCAGATTTATTCAGAATGTCTGTTCTTGTGTTCCCGTCAGATTTATTGAGAATGGCTGTTCTTGTGTTCCCGTCACATGTTTAATTCGATAGTTATATTGAGTTTGTTTTTAAGACACACAAAAAAAACCCACATCTTATTCGTTCTTTTTTCTGCACTTTATCAAGATAATGAGAAGACGCAAGTCGAGTTTAAATATGGCCCCTTTCAGCTGCCGAACCTTTTATTTATCACTGGTGACTAACTCACGGAGACACAGTAATTGTATATCAACTGTTGGTCAGATAAAATAGCAACAAAAACATTCATTATTGAAAACAAGTATGTGCTGAATGTGGTTTGGTCAGCAGGGTTAATTGTCCACTTTAGAGAGAGATACGTACTTTATTACGTCCGTATTAGTGTAAATCTCGCCTACTGCTTCAGTAGTGAACTTAATTATATAACATGTCCATCACCTCCGCTACGAAACATTTCTCAATGAGAAAGGCTAAAGCGAGACAGTCTGGCTCACATTAGTGCCTTTTAAATTAAATTAATATTAATGAGCGCAATGAATTAAATTGACGATTTTTTGTCCTTGATAAATTGATTTTTATTTGGAATATCAATATATAAAACATCTGGGTCAATAACACGGAATGAAAATCACAAACATCAAAAAGCTACATGAATTTTGCTGTTCGTGCATTAAATGAAAAATCTGGTGTAGGTGTATATATAGAGAGAGTTAACCTTTTCAATTTCCAGGGACATCGTGTGAGCTTACCTTTGTGATAACAAATGATAGCAATAAAAATGTATAACTCGGAGGCAGTTACAGCTCGATATGCACTCCACAATATCCTGCTGAAAATTGTATTGTTTCAGTATTTATTTTTCTTTTTACTTTTTCTTTTCTTGTATTAACCCATTTTTGTTTTGTTAATACAGATCATTATTTTAGTTTTGCTTTGGGAATTTTCTCTTCTTTTTTTTTGCCAACCTATTTCTTTAATGCAAATCGTTATTCTAGTCTTGCTTTTGGATTTTTTTTATTTCAACCTATTGCATTAATCTTGTTTCCGACGATACCCTTGCCTTTTTACAAGTGGACAGTGCGACCTTTGCCCGAGTTTCCTCTGGCCCTAACACCAGACTTAGACATTTTGACATATAGATGTCTTGTACACCAGACATCTTTATGTCAAAAATGTCAAAGTCTGGTGTTAGGGCCAGAGGAAACTCGGGCTAAGTGCGACCTATACAGATTGATCCAATTATAAACTTCTGACCATCATGCGTTTAATTAATGAGCAATAGTTTATGTACGGAGTCTGCTGAACCTCCAGCAGAATTGGGGATTTGCTTTGGTGTCCTATATTTGGGGACACAAAAGCGACCAAAATAAATCTGCTGCACCAATTGTAATATTTGGGATCTTTATCTTTCTTTCTACTCCTAAATTTTTATTTCCTAGCGCCTTGCTCTTTATAGATAGATGTAACTACTAGTACTAACCATGTACATTATACCGTTCAATTATCACCGGTAACCGATTATAGTCACACGTGCATATAGCTATTCGGAATTAATTTTAATATAATTAAAAAGTTTATAAGCATTATGATTAACAACACATTATAAATGTACATTTAGGTATGTTATTACAACATGTTACTCTTCCATCAAACAATCTGTTTTACTTTTTCTACATCATACCAATCATTCCTCCATCAGATATAGTTTATACCGTCCATATGCTGTTTTTCTGTACCCTAAACAAAAGCCATCCATATGCACATCATCACCTATCAGACAAAAAGGTGATTTTTTCCCCATATAAAGTGTTTGACATATCTGTAAAACTGTATAAATTAAATATATAAAAATACATTTCCTTTCAATAGACATCTGAGTTGAATGATTGATCTATTTATGACAAAGATCAATAGTATTTACATGTATTCATCATGAGAAGGAATTTACCATATACAGAAAATTCATAAAGAATACAATCACACAAGCCTCTAGGTGTCGGAGTGACATATGTAATTATTCATAACTAAATTCCATGCTACATTTGTTGCTGTATTTTTTCCTTTAACTTTCTTTAATCATGCGACACTTGATTTAAAATATTAAGACACATAATGATTTAAAAGGAAATTATATTTTATTTCAAAATGCATACATCGCTGTTCAATTCACCATCAATTATGATTATCACAAGTAAAATCATGGCAGTAAAGTATGAGTATTTGTGATACAAGTTGTGATAACTCTGTATGTAATAGTTGATATAAAACATCTACAATCTGTTGGACAAATTGTAAATAATTCTGATTACCATGCACATCTATGCAGACAAGGAGACTTTTCAAGCATTTTGTTGGCCCTTACCTGTCTTTTGAACTCAAACTTTTAATAAATGTATTTGTATCTACCTGAACTTGCACAATAATTCCAAGAAAATTATCTGGAGATTTAAGGCAACAGCAGTGTTGTCCAGGGTAACAACAACTGACCACAAACTTTTACGTTAGGATGCTACATGTTCCGAGTCAGATTTATGTTCTCATAATTACGTTGGTGTTTTTGAGAAGCACAGTCCAAATCATGTCCTGAACCCTGATGGTCATAAAGACAGCAGACTTTTGTATGTCAAACAAAAAGTGCGTGTCTTCTGATGCAGAGTGGAAATTTCAACACTGTTTAGTACAGTCAAGCTCCACACTCAACATGATTAAGGCCTTCCACAAAATTCAAAATTAGGTGGTCAAGACCGAGGAGCTTTCCTTTTGCGGTTGTAAATAATTTCTGTTGAGGAGGATGCAACTGGTACCTGGCTGCTCTGTGTATCACCCGATGGACCTGTATCAATGAAAATAACCATCTTTAGAACATTTGTATTTTTAGGTGTGGGTCTTTTAACTTCATATTACAGGTGATGTTTTTTGCCCCAGAATTAATGTATTTATTACCTCAATAACATTGTCATGTGTATACTACCCCATCAACATTATGTGAACATACAGTTTTATTGGCATACAATTCTTAACTTTCTGGGACACTGGGTACGGCAAGGGTGACAGTGATACAATATTTACCTTTCTTTAAGACTAGGAGAGGCCAACGTGACTCGAGAGATTTTGTAAGAAGATGTTTACCGTTTCTTGGTGTTTACTTCAATCACCTAGTTGACCTATGTTACAGTCAAGGTGTGTTATCTGGTTTACAAAATGATGTCATTGAACTACTGTAGTTTTGTCCAAATTGCCAATTATCCTCATGTGAGCAGGGAGGGGGGTGTATGCACACTGACAGTGATTAATTAATCATGGTTACCAACATGTTTTGATGTCACTTCAATCACTCAGTTGACCTATCGAGATTGCCTTTCATCCATACACATCATGATTGATACTTTTCAGAAACCATCTGTCAGGTTTTAATGAAACTTTTTTTATGATCATCAGCCTGTGGTGGGAATCAGAATCTATATACTCAAAAAGAGGTTGACACCCTTTAAAGCTGAAGAACTGGACCATAAGGGGTCACAGAGTAAAATAGCTATAATGTCACATGATATACAGGAAACTTAGTACATGTAGTTGATTTTTACTAACATTTCATTAAATGCTTCATAAATGAGGGTTCAGAATATACACTCAAGAAGGGGGCTCATAGGCCGTTATCTAAGTGTGAAATTTTCCTATGACATCTCTCTTAGTTAATGGTTGAGTAGGACAAAAATTCATGAGATTATCATTAGATCCTATCATGATAATTAACAGCTATACTAAAGAAGGGACTGACAACCCCCACCCTGGGGTTAAGGGGGAATGCAATTAAGGGTCACAGAGTGCAAAACCTTCAAATGAAATATCTCAACTAATGTGTTTTCACCTACATTCCATAAAATATCCTTTGGTATTGATTTGTTTAATTCTGAAGTAGAAATTGATTACATCCTACCAAAGGGAACAGGTTATGTGGGTGGATGAGATTTTTTGTTGATCTTACCTTTCTTTGGGACTTGGTGAGGCCAAGGTGACCCACAGTTTTTGTTGGGACACTTGGGGTTGTCTTTGTTGTGGAAGAACCTGCTGGCACAGTGTAGGTGGAGTTTGGTCTGACAGCTGTCACAACTCTGGCCCTGGAAACGAAGGGAGATGACTCTGGTTAGATTACTGTTACTATCGTTTACCCTAGATACAAACATTGTTTGTAAGGCTATTTCTGTGAGGAAACAATACTATTTCTTTGTAACTTGGTTTGGTGGAGATGACCAACATATTTTATTCAGATGTAACCATTTTTTTTCTCATTAATGGGATTTTTTGATAAAAACACTAACAGGTTTTATTTTTAAGTTCAAAAAAGCTATTAAAATAATGTTGGCAATGCAATAATGCATATGTATATTAAAACTTCTCTTGTGCAAACCCAGTGATCATGATTTAATTATATAATATCATTTTTGATTTACTTAACTAACACAGTTAATACAGAAGAAAATTGGAGACTTGAAAATTAATTTGTACTAAAATGCTAATTTAATTAGTATATTTATAACAGTAATAGTTACCATACAGCAGTAGGAATATAGAAGGCAAGTAATGGTACTTTGAAATTCTGCTGTTGTGTCTTTTAGGCCATAAAAACTTAATTGTTTGTTTCTCAGACCCACTTGTGTCAAATTTTTACCCCCCACATCGCTGTTTTTATCGCCAAATTGAAAAACAACATTTTAAAAAATGCAGTTATAAAACGCGGGGAAAACCCCCAGATCTAATTACCCGCATCCGATTCGACTATTGGTCTCAAAAAGGGCATCTCGTTAGCACTTTAATTAAACGGCACAATTGACATCAAGCGTCTGCCAATAATAGCATGGCCTCGCAGGTAATTTCAGTACAGATATCTATTTTTACCTGGAATGTCATCAGCGAATACAGTCATGGCTGTGACTTTGCCGATCTATACAAGAATCTCTCTGAGGATGGTGGTCTGGGACCATCAGATTGGACTTTTCAGGCCAAATATTTTGATCATGCGTACATCGTTAGAATTGGACGAATCCATAGCAGTAATACAATAGTCAGGACATGATATGTATATCAAAAAGACAACTACATGTAGAATGCTCTACCACAATAGGCCCAATATCTCCAGTATATCTTGCAGGCTGCTGTAAAAACTCTACAACATTATTGTTTAAAATGTACTTTATTTTAAATAATACATTAGTGTCTAATACTCTCTCTAAAACAGCATTTAATACATACTTGAGTATTAATTACTAAAAAAAATATGCACCCTCCTTCGTCAAATTTTTGAAAATGGTAAAAAAAATCATCTCTCATCACTTTTATGAGGGCTTAAAAAGCAAAACAAAAATCCTCCCTCCCTCATCATTTTCTGAAAAAAATGGGCTAAGAAACTAATAAAATAACTGTTTATTAAGGTTGATGCTGTCACTACATCTACCCACTAATGTTTCACACTGCTGTATAGTAATGTTACAGTATTATGGATGAGGCTGTAGGATACTGTGTTCCTACCTTAATACAGAGTTTGTTACACATGTTACACTTGAGATTTTCATCCTCAGCTCCATATACGTCTAAAATATACTGCTCTAGCTCCAGCAAACATCTTGTGGATAGCGAAACTTGTCCTGTTCCCTGAAATCAGCATAGAAGATAAACGATTTTTATAAACAACAAAAACGACAAAGCAAGAGTCAAATGACTCGCATAGCTGTTTACCCGTATCTGCTAAACATTCAATGTTGTCTAGAAAATCCCATAGAACCAGGTCAACTTGGTTGATGTCTGTTGAGTGTGTGCCTTTTATGCTTACAGCTGCTTACACTTTTTTGTTTTCACTAGATTTGTCTTAGATGAATATCTTCCCGGGTGTAAAAGGATCTAACAAGGTCACAATACCTTATGTATGAGGATCCACTTGGCAGACTCTAGTTTCTGTAGTAGGACCTGTGCATCCTGCCTCGACATCTTTTTCATGTTTTTATCCAGTTTGTCAACGATGTTGACAGCAGAGGTAGATCCAATCTCTCCTTCATTATCAACAATTTGGTCAACCTACACAACATATTCAACAGAAAGGTGGCTCAGCAAATATATGTGGTAAGGGAAGTAACTCTTGGTTCTGTTACAGTAAAGCTGTGCTATCTGGTTTACAAAATGATGTCATTGAACTACTGTAGTTTTGTCCAAATTGCCAATTATCCTCATGTGAGCTAGGTTATTTGTCCTTATCTTTATAATATACCAGTTGCTACAGAACCTTAGTAACCTATAAATGTTATGTTATTACATTTCCTAATATTTGTGTTCATAGCATGCAAAAATCATCAAATACCAATACATCACACACTCATTATAGATTAGTTACTTAGCAAATCGATGAACTGATTCATAAAAACATATGGTAATATACCTAAAAATCTTTGACCTAGCTAGGGATGCTTCCTTATAAATTCAGCTAGATCTGTTCAGCTGTAAGGAGAAAGTGTGGTATGCATTACCTCTCTTTCACAATTAACAATATACAGAAAACACAGAAAGACAGAACTTACAAGCTTTTTGAAGAATTCCAGTTCACTCTGTGTATAATCGGAGGCTAACCTGGTGATGGCACTCTCATTGGTACAGACCTACAAGACAAGATTGGAGTATCAACTGGACATCATAGTAGCTTAATCCTCACCGATTATTGACCAGGCCATAATGATCGACATCTTCCCCGATATATAATCAGAAAGTGGCTCTCCCATCCTCATTTACACTGACCAGACAGAAGTAGCTGACTAGCCCCCCACCCCGCCTGATTATAAATACTGATGAATTTACCTGTCCTCCTATATATTAATGACCAGGCAGTAGTAGCTGACCTCTCCCAACTATATAATGATGACCAGGACCACCTATATATACTGACCAGGCAGTAGTAGCTGACCTCTCCCCACTATATAATGATGACCAGGACCACCTATATACACTGACCAGGCAGTAGTAGCTGACCCCTCCCCACTATATAATGATGACCAGGACCACCTATATATACTGACCAGGCAGTAGTAGCTGACCCCTCCCCAATGACCAGGACCACCTATATATACTGACCAGGCAGTAGTAACTGACCTCTCCCCACTATAAAATGATGACCAGGATCACCTATATATACTGACCAGGCAGTAGTAACTGACCTCTCCCCACTATATAATGATGACCAGGACCACCTATATATACTGACCAGGCAGTAGTA